AAGATTAGTAACTCAAATGCATAAAATATACTGTATGTACACAGCGCCCCCCCGAACCCCCCGGCTGGAGGTGCTCACTTTGCTCGCCAAGGTGACCGAGACATTGAACGCGTTTTTTCCAGATCGCGGGGGCCCTGCGCCCATAACCCCCGCGATGTGGAAGGGTCGACCTGTACACGCAAATTTTCGTATTGTAGCGACAAAAAACAACGTCGCATTCCATCCGGGAATTGGCCAAACATCACAGTGGACAGTCGGTTAAGGCTTTCGAGGATAAATACTGGCCTCGTATTTAAATATTGGCGGATGCTCCACATTGCGTGTTTTTGTTTGTAGATACCGTGCGCCGAAGGAGTAATCGCCAGTGATGCTGTGAACTCTGGATGATAGCTCGTAATCTCATAATGTAATATGGCAGCATTGCGAAGCAAGGCATTAAAGCTCCACACGTTGAGGGTTTAAAGTAAAGTGGAAAAAAGTGGCAAAAAGTGGAAAAAAGTGCGGGCAAAAAATATAATTCTTTATCACAAGCTTACTTGACATTTTTATAAAGTGATTTGAGTGACACTTTTAAAAGGTGCCTCTCACGATAAGTGCTTAGAGCAAGAAATTAAAGACTTTTCTATTGAAGACGCGTTAGCAGGCAGCGAAGTGTCGCAGCGTACCGAGACTCATGCGTTCTGACTCAACAAGAGGAAGATGAGGGATGGCGTGGCACGAGAGCTCTACGCTGCCTTCAAGGACAGTTTCCACGGAAGTTCAGTGGCTAAACCCCGATATACGTCACTCAATGTATGATGATATACGTCACTCAATGTATGATGATATACGTCACTCAGTGTGTGATGATATACGTCACTCAGTGTATGATGATATACGTCACTCAATGTATGATGATATATTTCACTCAATGTATGATGATATACGTCACTCAATGTATGATATACGTTCACTCAATGTATGATGATATCCGTCACTCAATGTATGATGATATACGTCACTCAATGTATGATGATATACGTCACTCAATGTATGATGATATACGTCACTCAATGTATGATGATATACTTCACTCAATGTATGATGATATACGTCACTCAATGTATGATGATATACGTCACTCAATGTATGATGATATACGTCACTCAATGTATGATGATATACATCACTCACTGTATGATGATATACGTCGCTCACTGTATGATGATATACGTCACTCAATGTATGATGATATACGTCCCTCAATGTATGATGATATACGTCACTCAATGTATGATGATATACGTCACTCACTGTATGATGATATACGTCACTCAATGTATGATGATATACGTCACTCAATGTATGATGATATACGTCACTCAATGTATGATGATATACGTCACTCAATGTATGATGATATACGTCACTCACTGTATGATGATATACGTCACTCACTGTATGATGATATACGTCACTCAATGTATGATGATATACGTCACTCAATGTATGATGATATACGTCACTCACTGTATGATGATATACGTCACTCACTGTATGATGATATACGTCACTCAATGTATGATGATATACGTCACTCAATGTATGATGATATACGTCACTCACTGTATGATGATATACGTCACTCACTGTATGATGATATACGTCACTCAATGTATGATGATATATGTCACTCAATGTATGATGATATACGTCACTCACTGTATGATGATATACGTCACTCAATGTATGATGATATACATCACTCAATGTATGATGATATACGTCACTCAATGTATGATGATATATGTCACTCACTGTATGATGATATATGTCACTCACTGTATGATATACGTCACGCAATGTATGATGATATACGTCACTCAATGTATGATGATATACGTCACTCACTGTATGATGATATACGTCACTCACTGTATGATGATATACGTCACTCAATGTATGATGATATATGTCACTCAATGTATGATGATATACGTCACTCACTGTATGATGATATACGTCACTCAATGTATGATGATATACGTCACTCAATGTATGATGATATACGTCACTCAATGTATGATGATATATGTCACTCAATGTATGATGATATACGTCACTCACTGTATGATGATATACGTCACTCAATGTATGATGATATGTCACTCACTGTATGATGATATACGTCACTCAATGTATGATGATATACGTCACTCAATGTATGATGATATACGTCACTCACTGTATGATGATATACGTCACTCACTGTATGATGATATACGTCACTCAATGTATGATGATATATGTCACTCAATGTATGATGATATACGTCACTCACTGTATGATGATATACGTCACTCAATGCATGATATACGTCACTCACTGTATGATGATATACGTCACTCACTGTATGATGATATACGTCACTCAATGTATGATGATATACGTCACTCAATGTATGATATACGTCACTCACTGTATGATATACGTCACTCAATGTATGATGATATACGTCACTCACTGTATGATATACGTCACTCACTGTATGATGATATACGTCACTCACTGTATGATGATATACGTCACTCAATGTATGATATATGTCACTCAATGTTTGATGATATACGTCACTCACTGTATGATGATATACGTCACTCAATGTATGATGATATACGTCACTAAATGTATGATATACGTCACTCACTGTATGATGATATACGTCACTCACTGTATGATGATATACGTCACTCAATGTATGATATACGTCACTCAATGTATGATGATATACGTCACTCACTGTATGATGATATACTTCACTCAATGTATGATGATATACGTCACTCAATGTATGATGATATACGTCACTCACTGTATGATGATATAGTCACTCACTGTATGATGATATACGTCACTCAATGTATGATGATATATGTCACTCAATGTATGATGATATACGTCACTCACTGTATGATGATATACTTCACTCAATGTATGATGAAATACGTCACTCAATGTATGATGATATACGTCACTCACTGTATGATGATATACGTCACTCAATGTATGATGATATACGTCACTCAATGTATGATATACGTCACTCACTGTATGATGATATACGTCACTCAATGTATGATGATATACGTCACTCAATGTATGATGATATACGTCACTCAATGTATGATGATATACGTCACTCAATGTATGATGATATACGTCACTCACTGTATGATGATATACGTCACTCACTGTATGATGATATACGTCACTCAATGTATGATGATATACGTCACTCAATGTATGATGATATACGTCACTCAATGTATGATGATTCGTTACAGCGCTCCTCGTCACACTTTTGTGGTTTACGTCTCATTTGATTCATTTTTTTCACAATATTTTTTTGTTGTTGGAAAAAAAGAAATGCTAAATACCAATAGTTAATGCGGTCCCAGGACTTGGCTGGCCGCCACATTTTGTAACATCGCCCACTCTTTGTTTACAGGCCGTGTCGTCGTTCACACTACTCCTGCTGCTGTACGTTCCACCACGGTTCGTTCGCTCCTCCTGGCCCTCCCTCAGCCTCCCAGTCAACCCTCCAGCTCTCTCCACTTCACACGACATTCACCGCAGTTACTGGTGAGCGAACTACAGCGTACAGTGTTACCTGTCTAATCTAGTTTTACATTTATAGAGCGTCTTCACCCAAGTCGCTTCGCTATTACTTTCCATATTTATTCATGAAAATATCTTAGTGGCGTTATTTTAGGTGTTGGGTTAGAACATCTTTTCTTAGGAACGCATCTATGGCTATGTAATGGGACATTGTGGGAGAATACGCTTCAATATGCTGTAGAGTTTTTACCTAACTTTCATGTTTTAAAGAACGAAACCCGTATATCGAGGTAGACCCGTCCTACTTCACCTGGTTATCTTATTTTAGATTTATAGAGCGCCTTTGTTCAAGGCGCTTTGCATGGTTTAAAAATTCGGTAACAGAATGAAGTGATTTAGATGGCAAGGGCGTGCTAGGGCCAAGCAAAGAGTGACCACAACAGAGGGTCACGTGGGGGTCACAAAAGGGCAGGGGAGGGATGGGAAGGAGTGGAGGGGCGAAAGGTGGAAAGTGGAAGGGGCAATAGGAAAGAGGTGAGCTTTGAGAGAGGAATATGAGGAGGTTAAGGATGGGGGCTGCTTAATGTAGAGGGGAAGTTTAATCCAGTTAAGAAGACTAGTTCTGGAAGGGCGTCCCTTTAGAAAACAGTGAAAACAAATGTCACTACCGTTACTGTTGTGAAATGTTAATGCTGCATTGCTACCTGTAATAATTTAACATCTGCAAATGATTCATAAATGTTAATTGAAAATAAACTTAAAACTAAAATATTTCATTTTTTCCAGGTAAGGCCACTGAGCTATACAGTAGTCCCTGGGATAACGTGTTTAATCCGTTACTCGAAAACTGTTAAACAAAATAATTTAATTAAATATAGGAATTACATGTTAAAAGCATTAATCTGTTCCAAGATGATCGGAAGTTGACCTTAATAATTTACTGCTTTGTTTTAAAGCTTATTACTTTCCTACTCCTCTTTTCCTTTTGCAAATTCACTTTAGGGGTCATTGCAATCACTTACGAGTTTAAAAATAAGTCAAAATCACTTAGTCTGCAAGAGCTGTTTCCACTGCCAAAAGAGAAAACGCAATGCAAAAAAAGCCAGTTGACATCTAAACACTCATAGATGAGCGTCGCTGATTGGCTGAGGGTATGGCTCAGCCCCACTTACGAGCGCTCGGATTGGCCAAAATTGGCGCCCGCGTGCCTAACGTAAACGTACCGTTAGTCACAATGTTAACGTTCGTCGACACCTATGGGAGGCGAAACGTTAACTGAAAAACCGCTAACCACTGTCACTGTTAACCGAGGGACTGCTGTAGTGACCTGGCCACAAATTATTTCTCAACAAAGTGACTTATGTGGAAATCTATTGCAGCCAAAAACTCTTACACGCGTGATGTTTCTAAATGTGGAGGGAGAAACCGGAGAAAAATCCACACAAGCATGGGAAGAAAATTCAAACTCCAAATATAACAGGGCGAGGTTGTTCACATCTTGCCACAGCGGCGCCATTGAAGTCTGCCCTCGCTCCTCATTGGTCCGTGTTGAATCGGTACACTCTCGATGGTTTAAATCTTTATCTCGTGACGAGCGAACTCAACTTGGCCAGTAAGCCGACTCGCTCAAGGGGAGACGTCTCCACGACCCAGGTGAGCGTTTGCCACTCCGTTCGTCACCGGTAGCATCTCGATATTCTCTGTGTCCCCACGTGCAGCTTCACCGTCGGCCCTGTGGAACACAAACGAGGGTTTACAAACTGCGCGGCGCCTGCCCACAGCGCAGGTGTGACAATACTAAACGGGGATTAAACCTAGGATTGTATCCGGCATTTGCTCAATATCTCCAGCACGGCCATTATGAATCCTCAAAGAGACACCCATTCCAAGGGATTGAACCTGTGATCTCAAAGGTGCCTCGGACATGATCACTCAGAACCTGTCTTCCAAACACCCTCTGAACCAAATTTATGTTAAATCGCTTCCCCAACTCCTCTTGCTAGTGCGTAGCTAGTGCGTGGCTGGAGGGGGCACACCTGAGTAAGTGGAGGGATGTCCCAGACGAGCAAAGTTTCTTCACACACATGAAAATGGCAATACATATGCATGTTGCCACGATCACGACGGTCAATATCGTTGAGCTGGTCCCTGGTGTGGGCGAGTTCTCCCCTCCAGTAGTGTCCTTGGAACCACCAGCCTCCGTGTGCAACCGCGGGGCTGTGGAGACACGGACAACGGCATCAAGCCCCGACATCCACTCACAAGCAGCAGTAGCAGCAGCAGTGGCTGCACGTGCAGCCAGGATTAGACTGCGCTATGAACGTGTCTTCGCTGGCCGCAGGGAGAGAGCTCTCCTGTTGCAGGACTGGCAGCCCAGGGGCTTAGATGGCAGCAAAAAAACAATGACAAAGTGGCATTATTTTTCAAGAGCCTCGTGGGTAATGAAATGCATCACAAGTGACTGCAAAGAGCCATCGTGGCGCTTCCAACCACTGCTCACTCACCTGCAGCCACATCCAGAGTGACAGTCTTCATATGCTTCATCCAATTTATTGTTATCTCGACTTGGAAAGTCATGGGGCCGTGGCTCCTGGAGACGTTCAAGATTGTGTGGGAACAGTTGCCTTTCTCCACGTCTCCCAGGGTTGGGGAATTCCTTTTAGTCGAGTCGTCGATCTGAAACGAGATGAACCGCCAGCGTTCACGCACCCCGGATCTGCCATCTCGTTTGGAGTGGCGTGACATTTCAAGGTACAACAAAGTTGTGAACATTTCTTTCGCGAACTCGCGCTTGCAACAGGCCACTTGTTTACAATGTCAAAGGCCCTCCAATCTGTTTTACATGTGTGAATAAATATACAAAGTTGCTGATTAAAAGTTTATCCCTTGGTTGAGCCTAATGTTATCTTGAGGGCTCACACAGCAGCCTCCAGCGCCGCGACTTTTCGGCATCATTCTCGGGGTGTGAGCAGTCAAGCAGAGGAACGTTTCTCGAGATCTTCCCCCTCTGGTGCCTCTACATTCTGTTCTCCTATATAGCTGTAGTGTTTTCATAACCATAATTGGATAAAACGCCATCAATGTATTAGGGAACGAACTTTTTATAACGCCGATGCAAATTGGACATAACGCATTGGAGTGAATGGAAATACATCGCGCGAGTAGGAATAAGCGGTCGTACGGCGGCCTCGGCGTAGCATCACTCAAGGCAGTGGGATGCTGCTGGATGCTTCTATATGCTATCTCCACACCTCAGTGTTTGTTCGGCCTGTGTACGCATCTCACGTGTTATCGTGGACTGTGCTTTACCCTATATTACATTTTATTTATGATAACGCGATTTTTATGTAAAACTAGAGCAGGCTTTACAAGTGAGTGGTGCTCCCCGCCACTCTGCCACTGTGCCTTGACATCCCCTTTCAGCCCGATTTGCCTTGCTTACAACAACGGGTCTTTGTGCTCCACTCTCCCTGTGGAAGTAAAAAAAACAGGCCATGCCGTTGTCTCCTGCACGCCCTCTTATCAATGGTGCCAGTCCCCCATTGCTCTCCCTTTCCCTGTGCAGAGATTTAAGCCACACTATCTCCGACGAGGTGGAGGTGGGAACTCCGTGGGCGCTGATGGACTGGGTTTAGAATTCGGCTCAGGCATTTAGAAACACAGTGGCCCAAATTTCCGTGCGATCTCATTGGCCCCAAAAAACAAATGGGCCGGTGAGGAAAAATCTTTGGGGCTGCCAAATATGGGGCCTTAATGCCAACTGAGAGCGTAAATAAGCAATGAAACGTACACATCAGTGGTCATAAAATACTCTGGTCACATTTGCAATTTCCCCACTCAGACCAGCCCCACCGGGCATTTGCCCTACAGACTGCTGCCCTTTGACCAGTCCGAGTCCATCTGTGGGTACCATCAATGCCTACAAAAATCTATATTTACTTAAGTAGTGAACCTAATTACTTGTGTTTGGCCTGGTAGCACCCACAGCCACGACTCCCAGGTGTAAACTACCAAAGACAGATTAGGAGGGGGAGAGGTGGTCATCCTCGTTACGAAGTCCTCGCATCCTTATTAATTCCACGGCATAAACCAGCTCAATCTTGGCAGCACACCAAACACAATAAAAAAAAATCACTGTGGCAGCTCCATCCAGCAGTAGATTGGTCATGGCTGACGATGTGTGTGTGTGCGCACGTCCCTTTCTCAAGTGATACTCCGCTACGGATGGACTTGGTGCCATTGTGTAAATGTGGAATTTCCACAATTGCTTCACGTGTCGCTCCCTCCTCCTCGATCGCCGCGTGTTCTCCGAGCCTCGTCGCGGTGACTCATTGAGAACCGCGGACGCGCGAGGTTTGGGTTTAATCGCTCACCCGGAGGGTACCTGGCACAGCCAATTAACTAAGAGGGGGGATTTGCGTGTTTAGTGTGTCGGTCGGGGCGCGTGTGCCATGCTGGCCTTCATAGCTGCTCACTAACAGCACTTGCCACTACAGTCGAAGGCTATATGGGGGATCTTTGTCTGTGTTTAATTGGTAATTGTTAAGATGGCAGTGTGATCATCTATTTCATGGCTTTACTTGGATTTCCATGTCTGCCTAAGTGCTCATATCAACGTCCATGTGTCTGTCTATTTTATTGTTTTATGTTGATGCTTGTGTCTTTGATCTTTGTTGATTATTTCAATGCCTGTGTGTCCGTGGTGGCACTTTGCCGCGCCGGCACGCTGGTTGTGAATCACTGCTCTGTACCACCGAGATGAACGCTGCCCCGACCAAAAGCCTCATCCTGGTAACGCTAAGACATCTCACCTGAAATGCCTAACACCATGTCACTGCTTTACAGACGGAGTTAACGGGAGACCCTCTGTGCCACTGACCATAAACAGCCTGGGCTCTCATTGAATGTGATGCGATCCCATGCCGGGCAGATGTCCCTGCACGCTCATAGAATGAAGGCAGACGCGGTACGGCAGCCTGTGGCGCCGAGTGGAATAGACGATGACCGGTACCAGCGGTGTCCAGATCGGCCTCTATGGAGGAGGCTCATGAAGGACGCTACTGGGCATTTGGAGGCAGTCACCCTCCGACAACAGCGGAGGGCAGAGGAGCGACGCTCACAACGTTGAGTGGAGCGTGGGGTGGCTAAAATGCAACAAGCTGGTACAGTAGGTGGTGCATCTGTCAGTCATTTCAGTCAAACCATGGCAACTAGGTCTGTCCCGTGACCTTCTGCTAGCAGCGAGCCTTCGAAAATTAATATGGCCTAAGAGTGCACCTAGCCTGGCAAATGCACTGTGGTGATGTCACCCTCACATGGTGGCAAATGGTAACTGCTGCTGCATAGCAAATTGGATACCAACTGTTAAATGGAAGCTTCCTTTCCCCGGTGTCTCACTGCCCCATGCAATACAAATATTTATTCCCATTTTCTAAAAATCTGTAAAACGTTCTGGGTAAAGACGAAGGGCTACAGATGGCTGCAACAACCTCTGACGGTCCACGTGAAACAGGTGGTGAGCAGCAGTTGCGGAGCTGACTTTCCTGCTCTAGATGGAATTCAGACAGGGCCAAGTGAGGTGTTTCCTTGCAATGAAGGTTGAGGGAGCTAAACAAAAAGAAAATTAGTTTCACTTGATAGTTGGTGAGATGCAGAGGCAAGTAATACAGGTTGTGGTCAACAGGCGAGTAGATCAATGACACGTGACTAGACAGAAGCAGCATCAGCAGAAGATTAAAAGGGGGGCGAGACCAAGGATGAGAGGGAAAATAGGAGCAGACTGGGTGGAAACATCAGTAGCCTGGACAAACTGTGATTTTTTTTTTAATGCAACAATCCAACTTGGTAATTCGCTGAAAAAACTTACCAGCTCCGACTGATTTCCGATGAGCTGCAACCACTTGAAGGTGACGTTCTCTTTGCCGATCAGCAAGGAGCAAGGCAGAGTGACGTCATCTCCCTCCACCGCTTGCACTTTGTCCTTCACATAGATCTCCTGCGCCCAGCCGCACTCCATGAATACTACGCGGGAGGCAGAATGAGACGCCCGTTAGACCCCTCGTCCCAACGAAGAAACACTCCCCATGCTTCGTGGAGATTCCATCGGTTGGCACCCCGTCACAGGCGTCCACACGAAGAGAGACCGACCGTTCCACTTTCCCACCCACTGCCCCTTGTTCCCACTTCATCAAAACACACACACGGCTCCAAGGACTCAACAACACCGCGCTTTGTCAAACACTCCATCTCGTAACTAATTAATTAGACACTGCCACACTATTTATTCATGCCGGTTCTTTCACTATACTCTATGTTTAGTGTTTGTTATACGTTCGCTCAATGCAGACGAGCTGGGCGCAACGCACATGTGTGGAGCTGCGCCATGGCGTCAGGTGGTGTGTTTGTCGTGCATGCAGTGTCAGTACAGCGCTACCTCGGAGATCCAACTTAATTCGTTCCAAAACCGTGTTCGAACACCGAATTGTTCAAACACCGAATCAATTTTCCACATAAGAATGAATGGAAATAACATTAATTGGTTCCCCACCCAAGGATGCTCCTATTATGGGCCATTTTTACACAAAGTTTACAATATTAAAATACAGTACAGTATATAAAAGCATACAAAAAACACAGTTATAATTAATAGAATAAATGAACATTGAACTTCACTTTACCTGTAGTAAGGAGAGTGGACGGTTTGAGTGGAAGGTGGTGAGGAGGGGAGGAGGAGGTGTCAGTGTTGCTTGGAAGGGGAGTCCCCCTCCATAAACACGTTGGGTAACTGCCCTTCTGGGGTTCTTTCTTTTTTTGCCTTTTTTCGAGCACTAACTGTGATTCACTTGAGGGCCTTTTTACTAAAAACTGATCAAGAGAAGATTGTTTCTGCCTCCGTTTTAAGATGTTTCTGAAATTACTCAATGCATTATCATTATAAAAGTCGCCTGCTCTGCTGGCTACTGCCTTATCTGGATATTTTTCTACAAAATTGTTTAACTCAGCCCATTTTGCCACCTTTGAAAAAGGGCTTTCGTGTAGAGTTTTTTAAAGTTGGAAATTACCTGTTGGTCCATGGGGTGGATGAGAGGAGTCGTATTGGGGGGCAGGAACTTGACAGTGATAAAGGACGAGAGCTACGCGTAAACTGGGTCATTCGCCTTTGTCTCGGTCGCCCTGGATACGCATCTCGGCCCAAACAGGTCTTTACAGTTGTTCGGGGGCAAAAATGGTCGAAAATTTTGTTTGATCACCGAATTGTTCGAGTTCTGGGGCATTCGATCTCCTAGGTACCACTGTACTACGGTAGTTTAATTCAGCCTCAGTGGAGAGGTACAGTGTAAGGTGACAGTTTGAGAGGAGCTCTCCGATCTGGAATTCATCATCAACATCATTTTTCTGCTTTCACGCTGCTCGCTGTGACATTGTCAGCCGTTTTTTTGCGGTACCCAAATTCTCATTCTTTTTTTACCAAATCATGTTCCAGAGGTCTGTGCGTTCCATAAAACCATAAACTAATGTTTATTTGACCAGATAAGGCCCATGGAGCTATGTATTTTTGTCAGAAGCTACATTGAGGGAAAAAAGTATTTGATCCCCTGCTGATTTTGTACGTTTGCCCACTGACAAAGAAATGATCAGTCTATAATTTTAATGGTAGGTTTATTTGAAAAGTGAGAGACAGAATAACAATAACAAAATCCAGAAAAACGCATGTCAAAATTTTTATAAATTGATTTGCATTTTAATGAGGGAAATAAGTATTTCACCCCCTCTCAATCAGAAAGATTTCTGGCTCCCAGGCGTCTTTTATACAGGTAACAAGCTGAGATTAGGAGCACTCCCTTTTAGAGTGTGCTCTTAATCTCAGCTCGTTGCCTGTATAAAAGACACCTGTCCACAGAAGCAATCAATCAATCAGATTACAAACTCTCCACCATGGCCAAGACCAAAGAGCTCTCCAAGGATGTCAGGGACAAGATTCTAGACCTACACAAGGCTGGAATGGGCTACAAGACCATTGCAAGCAGCTTGGTGAGAAGGTGACAACAGTTGGTGCGATTATTCGCAAATGGAAGAAACACAAAAGAACTGTCAATCTCCCTCGGCCTGAGGCTCCATGCAAGATCTCACCTCGTGGAGTTGCAATGATCATGAGAACGGTGAGGAATCAGCCCAGATCTACACGGGAGGATCTTGTCAATGGTCTCAAGGCAGCTGGGACCATAGTCACCAAGAAAACAATTGATAACACACTACGCCGTGAAGGATTGAAATCCTGCAGCGCCCGCAAGGTCCCCCTGCTCAAGAAAGCACATATACATGCCCGTCTGAAGTTTGCCAATGAACATCTGAATGTCTTTTTTGGTTCTTTCGGTAAAGTCACGTAGAATGAGAATAAAATAATAAATTGATAAAATAAAATAACACAATAATATTCTCACGACGTTTTGGCCACAACACAAGCGGCCTTCATCAGGTGAAGGGACGAGACTGTATGGTAGGACAGCGCTGGAGTGAAAGAGCCACGTTCAGATCACGGCCTTTAAGCTGTGTGAGAGGAACAAAGCGCCTTGACAAAGGAATTAGCATATAATTTAGCATTGGAATGGCTGAATGATTAGCTTGTGACTGGTCACAGAAATAGCTATGTTAAAAGTTAAAGCATACACATCCGCAGAGGCACCCCTTGTTAAAGGAATTAGCATAGAATTTAGCATTGAAATAGCTAAGTTAAAGCATACACATCCGCAGAGGCACCCCTTGACAATGGAATTAGCATAGAATTTAGCATTGAAATAGCTGAGTGATTAGCTTGTAACTGCTCACAGAAATAGCTACGTTAAAGTCAGAGCATACACATTCACCGAGGCACTTAGTACAAATCAAACAGGAGAATTTAGCATTGAAATAACTAGGCGAATTTAGCATTGAAATAACTGAGTGATTAGCTAGTGACTGGTCACAGAAATGACTATGTTGAAGTCAAGGCCTACACATCTGAGCTATTCACAGTACTATATAGTGAACCAATAAAAAAAACTAAAATATAAATTACCTTAATGTTATCAATAAACTCTATATTCTCCAATCAGCTAAGCTACCAACAATAAGTCGTTATATATCACAATGCTATATGGCGAAAAAATGGGTGGATTCTTACCCTCAACTTTAGCACCACGGATAGCTACGGGCCCCGTTCAGACGGACGAGTTCGTCCATGGTCGGAACAGAGGAGGGGGAGAGAGACAGCTGCGAGGTGCCACTATACTCCATGTTGTAAAACCATACCATTAACCGTGGTGTGAGAGGTATTAAGAGTCAATGCTGGCGAAGGAGCTGCGGTCTGAAGGTCATCGTAAAAAATACAATTAATTAAGAACAGAAATGATTTAAAACATCTTTCCAGTGGTTACTAAGCCAGAATCCATCTTCTCGGTTGAAATTGTCTCTGTGCTTGTATATGTGAATGGCTTCATGAACGAATCTCTCATGGTAGCCGGTTGGTTTGCATTCACATATACAAGCACAGAGACAATTTCAACCGAGAAGATGGATTCAGGCTTAGTAACCACTGGAAAGATGTTTTAAATCATTTCTGTTCTTAATTAATTGTATTTTTTACGATGACCTTCAGACCGCAGCTCCTTCGCCAGCATTGACTCTTAATACCTCTCACACCACGGTTAATGGTATGGTTTTACAACATGGAGTATAGTAGCGCCTCGCAGCTGTCTCTCTCCCCCTCCTCTGTTCCAACCATGGACGAACTCGTCCGTCTGAACGGGGCCCGTAGCTATCCGTGGTGCTAAAGTTGAGGGTAAGAATCCACCCATTTTTTCGCCATATAGCATTGTGATATATAACGACTTATTGTTGGTAGCTTAGCTGATTGGAGAATATAGAGTTTATTGATAACATTAAGGTAATTTATATTTTAGTTTTTTTATTGGTTCACTATATAGTACTGTGAATAGCTCAGATGTGTAGGCCTTGACTTCAACATAGTCATTTCTGTGACCAGTCACTAGCTAATCACTCAGTTATTTCAATGCTAAATTCGCCTAGTTATTTCAATGCTAAATTCTCCTGTTTGATTTGTACTAAGTGCCTCGGTGAATGTGTATGCTCTGACTTTAACGTAGCTATTTCTGTGAGCAGTTACAAGCTAATCACTCAGCTATTTCAATGCTAAATTCTATGCTAATTCCATTGTCAAGGGGTGCCTCTGCGGATGTGTATGCTTTAACTTAGCTATTTCAATGCTAAATTCTATGCTAATTCCTTTAACAAGGGGTGCCTCTGCGGATGTGTATGCTTTAACTTTTAACATAGCTATTTCTGTGACCAGTCACAAGCTAATCATTCAGCCATTCCAATGCTAAATTATATGCTAATTCCTTTGTCAAGGCGCTTTGTTCCTCTCACACAGCTTAAAGGCCGTGATCTGAACGTGGCTCTTTCACTCCAGCGCTGTCCTACCAGACAGTATCGTCCCTTCACCTGATGAAGGCCACTTGTGTTGTGGCCGAAACGTCGTGAGAATATTATTGTGTTATTTTATTTTATCAATTTATTATTCACTCAGCTATTGACTTTACCGAAAGAACCAAAGAAGATGAATCATTGCAGTCACGAAAGCTTTAAATCGAAATTTAACATCTGAATGATTCAGAGGACAACTGAGTGAAAGTGTTGTGGTCAGATGAGACCAAAATGAAGCTCTTTGGCATCAACTCAACTCGCCGTGTTTGGAGGAAGAGTAATGCTGCCTATGACCCCAAGAACACCATCCCCACCGTCAAACATGGAGGTGGAAACATTATGCTTTGGGGGTGTTTTTCTGCTAAGGGGACAGGACAACTTCACCGCATCAAAGGGACGATGGACGGGGCCATGTACCGTCAAATCTTGGGTGAGAACATCCTTCCCTCAGCCAGGGCATTGATAATGGGTCGTGGATGGGTATTCCAGCATGACAATGATCCAAAACACACGGCCAAGGCAACAAAGGAGTGGCTCAAGAAGAAGCACATTAAGGTCCTGGAGTGGCCTAGCCAGTCTCCAGACCTTAATCACATAGAAAATCTGTGGAGAGAGCTGAAGGTTCGAGTTGCCATACGTCAGCCTCGAAACCTTAATGACTTGGAGAAGATCTGCAAAGAGAAGTGGGACAAAATCCCTCCTGAGATGTGTGCAAACCTGGTGGCCAACTACAAGAAACGTCTGACCTCTGTGATTGCCAACAAGGGTTTTGCCACCAAGTACTAAGTCATGTTTTGCAGAGGGGTCAAATACTTATTTCCCTAATTAAAATGCAAATCAATTTATAAAATTTTTGACATGCGTTTTTCTGGATTTTTTGTTGTTATTCCGTCTCTCACTGTTCAAATAAACGTACCATTAAAATTATAGACTGATCATTTCTTTGTCAGTGGGCAAACGTACAAAATCAGCAGGGGATCAAATATTTTTTTCTCTCACTGTACCTGGCTATCACAAATGATAGCTGAACTGAGTGGCTTTTCACGTGGACATTTATTGCAGCCAAATACTCTAATCGCATGTTTCTAAATGTGGAGGGGAAAACCGGAGGACCCGGAGAAAAATCCACACGACCAACGGAGAGAACATGCAAACTCCAAATATACAAGCAGCAGGCGTCAGGGTTGGGATCTAACCCACGACCTCCTGTATACCCGGCGAGGTAGTAAACATCTTGCCACCGTGGCGCCAAATCTTCAGTGCCACGTCTCTTTTATCAACGCTTCTTCACCTCAGCATGTGATTTGTGGTGTCAAATAATTTGCTTCGTTTGCTTTGTATCTTTCTCCACGCACTATGCATTACCGTGTCGGTCGATTCAATCATGAAAGTGGGAACAAGTTAGTGCCGGAAGCTACTTGTTGATTGAATTACGGCGGCGACTTATAAAACTCCACTTGCTGACAGTGTCAGCCACGTGCAACGCTTTGACACAAACATCTAGAAGGGCGACTGCGATCACTGGACGTGAAGCAGATGGCTTGCGTTAAGATGCAACGGCGAGAAAAATGGTACCCAACGGGATATGTTTGAGAAAATAAAAACTGCAAATAGAAATAAACCGTTAATAAATGCGTGGTGGATACCCAAGCACGTACCCGAGATTTGGTAAGCGTATTAACGTCATAAACCTGACATCCATATGAATATCACACGACACAACATTTAACTACAGGTCCAGATCATCCTTGATTCGGGGGGGGGGGGGTGAAGGGGGTGCCGAATTTTAAAAAGTGCCAGATAATCCATGATAATTATTTTAATTGCACATTCTTGCATGACATTATGTTTGTAGGTGTTGTGTATAAATTTTTTTAAGTGTTACATTTTTTTACTACGTTATATTAAATTGCCATGAACATATAAACACACAAAAATAAATACCCTACTGTAAAACGCTGTTTTTACTGTACAGGAGTTGTTGGTCATGAAACATGTATATATGTGCAGTATTTTCATTACGTTGTATATCATGTATATACGGTGTATTAAATGTAGTGTATAATGTACAGTAAATAATGTTTGACACCGAAATCAAACATCGCTACTGTTTTGTGTTTTTTAACACGCACGTGGTGGTGGTGGTGGTGCCGATGGCTGGACTGGTCACAGCCTTTGGAGCGGTTTTGTCGGATCGGCCAGAGAGCCCCCTCCCCCCATACCCTACACCCCCCCCATACCCTACACCCCCCCATACCCTACACCCCCCCCCACACCCTACACCCCCCCCATACCCTACACCCCCCCCATACCCTACACCCCCCCATACCCTACACCCCCCCCATACCCTACACCCCCCCCCATACCCTACACCCCCCCCATACCCTACACCCCCCCATACCCTACCCCCCCCCATACCCTACACCCCCCCCATACCCTACACCCCCCCATACCCTACACCCCCCCCATACCCTACACCCCCCCCATACCCTACACCCCCCCCATACCCTACACCCCCCCCCCATCATACCCTACACCCCCCCCCATACCCTACACCCCCCCATACCCTACACCCCCCCCATACCCTACACCCCCCCCCCATCATACCCTACACCCCCCCCCATACCCTACACCCCCCCATACCCTACACCCCCCCCCCATACCCTACACCCCCCCCCATCATACCCTACACCCCCCCCATACCCTACACCCCCCCATACCCTACACCCCCCCCCCATACCCTACACCCCCCCCCATCATACCCTACACCCCCCCATACCCTACACCCCCCCCCATACCCTACACCCCCCCCCATCATACCCTACACCCCCCCATACCCTACACCCCCCCATACCCTACACCCCCCCATACCCTACACCCCCCCATACCCTACACCCCCCCATACCCTACACCCCCCCATACCCTACACCCCCCCATACCCTACACCCCCCCATACCCTACACCCCCCCATACCCTACACCCCCCCCATACCCTACACCCCCCCATACCCTACACCCCCCCCCCCCCATCATACCCTACACCCCCCCCCATACCCTACACCCCCCCCCATCATACCCTACACCCCCCCCCATACCCTACACCCACCCATACCCTACACCCACCCATACCCTACACCCCCCCATACCCTACACCCCCCCCATACCCTACACCCACCCATACCCTACACCCCCCCCATACCCTACACCCCCCCATACCCTACACCACCCCCCATACCCTACACACCCCCCATACCCTACACCCCCCCCCCATCATACCCTACACCCCCATCATACCCTACACCCCCCCCCCATACCCTACACCGCTGGTCAACTTAGTGGCCAAGCCTGGAGTCCGCGGCCAAAATTTAAACTAATTTTGTATTCGGTACAAACTCGTGGACTTCAAAAGCCGCCAATGCACCGCGGGGTGGTGAATGCAAGACGATGGTGAATACCAGACGGTGGTAAATGCACCGCAGTGGTGAATGCCAGACGGTGGTGAATGCACCGCGGTGGTGAATGCCAGACGGTGGTGAATGCACCGCGGTGGTGAATGCCAGACGGTGGTGAATGCCAGACGGTGGTGAATGCCAGACGGTGGTGAATGCACCGCGGTGGTGAATGCCAGACGGTGGTGAATGCACCGCGGTGGTGAATGCCAGACGGTGGTGAATGCACCGCGGTGGTGAATGCCAGACGGTGGTGAATGCACCGCGGTGGTGAATGCCAGACGGTGGTGAATGCACCGCGGTGGTGAATGCCAGACGGTGGTGAATGCACCGCGGTGGTGAATGCCAGACGGTGGTGAATGCACCGCGGTGGTGAATGCCAGACGGTGGTGAATGCACCGCGGTGGTGAATGCCAGACGGTGGTGAATGCACCGCGGTGGTGGTGAATGCCAGACGGTGGTGAATGCACCGCGGTGGTGAATGCCAGACGGTGGTGAATGCCAGACGGTGGTGAATGCACCGCGGTGGTGAATGCCAGACGGTGGTGAATGCCAGACGGTGGTGAATGCACCGCAGTGGTGGTCCTTGATAAACAGCGGCCACGGAGCGGTCCTTAAAGAGCCGCGTGCGGCTCCGGATCCGCAGGTTGCTGACCCCTGGACTCGGCAAATGTTGACCCCTTTACCCTACGGCAGTTTATGGGATTGGTGTCCAGAAAACTTCTTTCGAACCGTGCGCAGCCAACCGTGCCAATCACAGAGGTGCGTACGGGTGACAGCGATGACGGTGATGATGGTGGTCATGCCGGAGATGGTGGCAATGACGGTGGTGGCGATAATGACAATGAGGTATAGCCATGATGCTAGCGATGGTGGCGTGTTCAGTGGCTCAGCGTGCGATGGACTCACCGATCATCCAAGGGAGCAGTGAGAGACGTGTCCAGACCTTCATGGCCATTCTGCGCCTGCTGATGAACAGAGCCGCATCGAGAATTCTGAGAAACGTTGCACCAATCTCTATTCTTTCTCAATGTCCTCCCTTCCGAACACTATCTTATGTCTTTTACACATTCATCCCCGGCCCTGCATTCTTTCCTGACGTATTCCCTGCATTAATTAATTAACACTTTCCCGCAGTACCACGCAGCTTTCTGCCATCAAATCTACGTGGTCCGCGAATCTCAGCTTATTTATTCTTTCTCCTTGCACAGATATTCCTGTGCCGTTGTCCTGAATGGCATCCATCAGCCCTTCCAAGCACGTGACGAGGCTGTTTGGTGATAGTTTAAAGTCAATTAAATTTTTGGCACACTTGGCGCCATCTCGCGCATACTCAAACATAATACAATCTTGGGCGGAAGGCGGGCAGCAGACGGACAGAGCGACAGGCGGGAGGAGGGATGGATGGACAGAGCGACAGGACTGCTCATCGCCGTCGCCTTTTAAGTCGCCGACGATGCCCGGCCTGGGACGGCGTCTTGCAACGCGTCCCAAGTGTTCAACCCCACTCAGAGAGCTGCTTTACATTGCCACGCGATAAGCCACTTCGTTAAGAGCTATCATTTGCGATAGCCAGGTCGCCTCTGAAGAAGAGCTACATAACTTAGTGGGCCTTCACCTGGTAAAACAAATAAACTCTTTAGTTTGTAGTTCACACACGGAGAGGAGGCGCACCGACCCCCCCCCTCCCGCGCGACTCCCTTCGACAGTCGCCGCCGCAGCCGCGCTGCGTTAGAGGCAGCAGCAGCGGCTGTTACCGCACTGACAAAACACAGCAGGAGACAAGCGCTGTGTGAAGTCGACCTCTGGGAGGCCACCACTCACTGCGCCACCCACCACTCACTGTGCCACCCACCACTCACTGTGCCACCCACCACTCACTGCGCCACCCACCACTCACTGTGCCACCCACCACTCACTGCCACCCACCACTCGCTGCGCCACCCACCACTCACTGCCACCCACCACTCACTGCCACCCACCACTCGCTGCGCCACCCACCACTCACTGCCACCCACCACTCACTGCCACCCACCACTCGCTGCGCCACCCACCACTCACTGCCACCCACCACTCACTGCCACCCACCACTCGCTGCGCCACCCACCACTCACTGCCACCCACCACTCGCTGCGCCACCCACCACTCACTGCCACCCACCACTCACTGCCACCCACCACTCACTGCCACCCACCACTCACTGCCACCCACCACTCACTGCGCCACCCACCACCCGCTGCGCCACCCACCACTTGCTGCGCCACCCACCACTCACTGCCACCCACCACTCGCTGCGCCACCCAGCACTCACTGCGCCACCCACCACTCACTGCCACCCACCACTCACTGCCACCCACCACTCACTGCGCCACCCACCACTCACTGCGCCACCCACCACTCGCTGCCACCCACCACTCACTGCCACCCACCACTCGCTGCGCCACCCACCACTCACTGCCACCCACCACTCACTGCCACCCACCACTCACTGCCACCCACCACTCACTGCGCCACCCACCACTCACTGCGCCACCCACCACTCACTGCGCCACCCACCACCCACTGCCACCCACCACTCACTGCGCCACCCACCACTCACTGCCACCCACCACTCACTGCCACCCACCACTCACTGTGCCACCCACCACTCGCTGCGCCACCCACCACTCACTGCCACCCACCACTCACTGCCACCCACCACTCACTGCCACCCACCACCCACTGCCACCCACCACTCACTGCGCCACCCACCACTCGCTGCGCCACCCACCGCTCACTGCCACCCACCACTCGCTGCGCCACCCACCACTCACTGCCACCCACCACTCACTGCCACCCACCACTCGCTGCGCCACCCACCACTCGCTGCCACCCACCACTCGCTGCGCCACCCACCACTCACTGCGCCACCCACCACTCACTGCCACCCACCACTCACTGCCACCCACCACTCGCTGCCACCCACCACTCGCTGCACCACCCATCACTCGCTGCGCCACCCACCACTCACTGCCACCCACCGCTCACTGCCACCCACCACTCGCTGCCACCCACCACTCACTGCGCCACTCGCTGCAGGTGAGGGCCGTGGAGTGACGCACCGCGCCCTGCGGGGTCAGGCGGCGCCGTCTCACCACCGCGCCGCCGACGGCGCTCGATGAAAAGTTCTCGTCCGCGGACTGTTGACGACTTTCAGTGGCGCGAGCGACGACGTTGGTTAACGAGGTTATCGGAGTTAACGAGGTCGAGGGGAGGTAACGAGGTTATCGGAGTTAACGAGGTCGAGCGAGGGAGCGACGTTTCGGAACAGCCGCCCACGTGGATGCCCGGCACAGTGAGGAGAGGGGGGCGGGGCCTATTCTGCCCGGCTGGAACCTGCTCCAACAGGAAGAGATTTATATTCTAATAAAACAAAAACTTTTATAGAAATTGTTTTGTTGTCCATGATACAGTTTTTTTTTTGGGGGGGGGGAGGGGTTATATCGCGTAAATATATAAATGTGTCGGTAACCCCGCCACCACCCGACACAGCCAATTAGTAAGGTTCGTCACGTAAACGGAACGTGTCAATGAGTTTCAGCACACCGGCGTGTTGGAGAGTAAACCCACAACGTTTACCATTCTAGTACCGTGACATCTAACCCCACGGGGGCCCTCTCCCATTCCCTGGCCCCCTCTCTGCACATTCCCAGCCACCAATCCTCTTGACGCCAACCACTCGCGGTCAACTGGGTGCAGGGAGTGACATCAGATGGAGTGTAAGGCGCTAGGGGAGTCCCCCCTCGTGTCGTCGTGGTATTGAGACAGGCGGCCTGCACCGTGTCCAGGCGTATTGGGCAACAGCCCCCCACGGCGTGCGTGGAAGAGGAGGCCAAACACCGTCTAGAAGGGCTGCACCTCTCGTCCATACGCATTGAGTGCTGTATAAGAATGCAGGGCGGCGTACAGCGCATCACGGTTGCTGGGAGATGTTCACAACCTCACCTGGAACGCAGGAGGTCCTGGGTTTGATCCCGACCCTGACGCCTGCTGCTGTGTATTTGGAGTTTGCGTGTCTCTCTTCCCATGTGGTCACGTGGATTTGTCTCCGGGTTTTTACCGTCACGTGTAGGATCAACATCAAAGTGCGTTTGGAGTATTCGGTTGCTGCTATAAATGTTGAGCTATCATTCGTGGCTAGGTCGCTTCTGAAAAAGAGCTACGTAGCTCAGAGAGCCTTAGCTGGTAACACAAATGTTGTTGAGTTTCAGTGCCGTGCTCATAATACCGTATGATAAACTACTTTACAGAGATTTATCATACAAACTTTATTTGCTGCTCCAGTTAAACTTGGTATTTACTTATGGTTGTCAAAACAGAAAAAGGTTCAGCCTTTGATGACGACTTGTTGTTCTTGCTGTGTGTTTCGGACAAAGAATATGGAAAATTCGTGTTTAAAAGAATTGCTTTGTCAGAAGTGGGATTCGAACCCACGCCTCCAGGGGAGACTGCGACCTGAACGCAGCGCCTTAGACCGCTCGGCCATCCTGACGAGGTACGGAAGCTTTCTTGAGCCACCCTCATATACTACTATGGGGCCGTCCATAAATGACGTCACGCGATTTTGAACGATTTTTGACCCCCCCCCCCTCGTCACGCGGCGTCACAAAAAGTCATACCCCCCTCAATTATGACGTCACAAAGCTCTGCCCCCCCCCAAACCATATTTCCATTTTGAAAATAAAACATTCTTCAGATCACTTTAAACTATTGTCATTGTAGTGCGTATTTAACGTGGCGCTGCACTCTGATGTAGGAGAAAACATTTATTAAAAAGGCGTTAGAAAGCTTAAATTTTGCATAAAATTAACTTGAAAATATTCAACGTCTAACTAAAACTGCAGATGTTCAGAATATTATATTGAAATTATCTTATAACTATAAAATATTAAAAGTAATTATAACTATAAGAAAATACTTGAAACATTGCAGTAGAACGACGCAAAATGGAGAGTACAATTATAACAATCATATTTATTTCACTAAAATGAAAAGCCCTGGTAGAATCATTAGAATCCAAATGTTTAATAACAATCATTCAAAAAAGTTTAGAAAAGTTATGCTTCTCGATTCTCCCATGGAGAAGCAAAATGCTCCTTCATGGAATAAATAAAAGGTGACCTTAGTAAATTTAAATAACCAAATAGTTAATAATGAAAATTAATTAAAAAAAATACTGTAGTGTTATTTCAATTCTATATTTATTTAAAGTTGCGCATTTTGATCTGACGCCACATTTCGCAACCCCCCCCCCCCCTCGTCACACATCGCCACAAATGTCTGAACCCCCCCCCCCCCACTATGTGCGTGACGTCATTTATGGACGGCCCCGATACACACCACTACACACACCACTACTACGCACACGACAACCGCCATTCGCCACTTAGTGGCGGTGACGTCACCACGACGCTTGTGCCAGGCTATATGCCCCTTGAGGCCACGTGAAGTGTCGAACGCCCGCTGGCAGGAGGTCACGGGGCAGACCCAGGTGCCACGGGTCGACTGACTGAGATGACTGAGATGACTGGCTGATGCACCACCTGTGCCCCCTACTGTGCCAACCTGCTGTGCTTTAGCCACCCGGCGCTCCGCTCGTTGTTGTGAGCGTCGCTCCTCCGCCCTCCGTTGTTGTTTGAGGGCGACTGCCTCCAACTGCCCAGTAGCGTCCTTCACGAGCCTCCTCCACAGAGGCCGATCTTGACACCGCTGGTACCGGTCATCGGCAAGTCCACTCAGCTCCACGTCCTCCTGTACCACATCACTCCATCTCTTCTCTAGCCCGTGCCGCGCCCGTTTAGCCCCCTCGATCCGGCCGAACAAAAGCTGTCTGGGCATGCGGTGGCTGGGCATGCGGGCTACATGACCCAGCCAACGCAGCCTTGCCTGCCGGAGGAACTCACCGATGGGACCTTGCCCAGATCTTTCAAGGATTTGTGAGCTCCTCACACAATCCAGCCTGGGTTAAACCCAGGATGGATCGTAGGCAGGCTAGCCTAAATGTTTCTAACCGGCGAAGATGTTCCATTAGGGGGGTCCACGTTTCGCAAGCGTAGAGAAGGGAGGGAATGACCGTGGCCGAGAAGACCTGAAGCTTAGTGCAGAGCGACAGACCAGGTAGCTTCCACACAGCGTTACGCAACCGATGAAAATATATTGCCGCTCAACTGATTCTGAGTGAGACCTCTGCTGTTAAACTGGAGCTGGTCATAAGCACACTGCCCAGGTATGGGAAACTCTCCACTCTCTCCACAACTGCCCCATCTACCACTACACACACACCACTACTGCTCGTTGTCGTGACTTGTGTTACCGTTGAACATAACGACACCCGTGATTCGTTGGTGTCGTGTACAATTCCCTGCTCGGCCACTCAAATTTTAGAGGGGAGAGAGTGGTGGCACAGCGATTAGCACCACTGAACCCGGAAGCCGCAGAATTAGATTCCCAGCCACGGCGAACGTCATTGGCGACGTGACAAGACGAATAAGTCCCAAGCCGCCGCTCCCCCCCCCCCCATTTGGTGAAGTGTGCTCCGCCGTCGGGAGGCCTCCTCCCCATCTAGCAGTTGATCGAGCAATGGCTGGAAGTTATTCAATGGTTATAATGAACTGACAGCAAAATAAAACTAACCTCG